TGCGGATAAATCACGAGGAAGACGGGGCTGGCGCACACGGAAAGGCAAAAACTGCGGCCGAGTCGGGCGCAGAAGATCGCGAACGGCGGCGTGACGAGCGGAGAGCGGAGGGCCAGCCGGATGCTTAGAATTTCGATAAATCTAACTTGGCAGGAGAAACAAACGTAGGGATAGAGAGGGAGCGAAGATGAGAGGCTTTTTTCGGCCGCGCAGCGTCGCTTTGGCTCCCGTTCAAAAATTCCGTCTTCTTTTCTCGACGCTGTAAACGCGCGGACGTAACCCAATCGTGATCCGGATTGGCGATGTCGCGTCGCGAGCCATCCCTGGTCCTCGACGAGGTTATCCAGCACTTTTGGAAACCTCCGGTCTTTTTCTTGAAATTTGTGGGACCTCGAGAATACGTTCCTGGAAGATTTTATCGAATTTTTTAACGGAGGTATGATGATAGTTTAAAAGGAACACGTGAAAGATGAAATCAAGGAGGAATGGTGGACTTTATGAAAGAGAAACTATGCTACGTAAGATAGAAGGGAGCAATAATGATAATTCAAAAGGAAAAATGAAAGATAATATCAAGGAGGAATGGAGGACTCGATGAAAGAGAAACTAAGCTACGTAAGATAGAAGGGAGCAATAATGATAATTTAAAAGGAAAAATGAAAGATAATATCAAGGAGGAATGGACAACCGAACTTGGATCTCATGAAAAAGAAACTAAGCTACGTAAGACAGAACTTCCACCAAGAAATTCCGAATGATGAATTGAAGAGAAAGAAGAACACGCTAATTTCTTAACCGAAACCAGGACACACCAGGATCGCAGACGAATATCTACTGAAAAAGACAGAATGAAGTCGTAGCGTGAACAGTGCGCGATGCGGTGATAAAAGATGAAGATCCCAGGATCCGAACGCCCATATCATTGTAAACTAATAATATAAACTAACTACCACTCCATTAATTAGTAATTTCGCATTTGTTTAAAGAATCCCTAACGCTTACCTGTAATTTCGTGTTGGTCCTCCATTCCAGACAGACTTCTCCGTTTCACTCTCTTCTTACGCTACCGTCGACCGATGTTTCGATTAAACGCTCAAACTTTCTGTAATTCTTATGCGTATATATTTCTGTTCATATTCATACGTATATTCATATTTATATTCGTACCTGTATATTTATATATATATATATATCTATATATATATATATAATCGTATTTATATTTGCATTTATATGTATGTATATATTAATTATGTACACGTTTTATACAAAAATGTTCTCGCGCCTTTATACATAACTCTGTATAGATATCTTTTCCGCCCTACGAACATTCAACGATAACGCAATTCGTGCTCGGTATAATACAATTTTTCAGTTTCACGAGCATCCGCGTGCGGGACTCGATCGGAACAAGTTCGACGAATTCCGCTAATTGGGTCGATCGTGAATTCGATTCGATTCGCGCTTATCGTTTCCGATCGATACGCGTCGCTCCCTCGCTTCACGAGTTATGTGTCCTCTGTCTGTGTATGTATGCATGTGCAGTGTGTACGCGTCTGTCGCTTTTAAGAAACGATCGCTGCTTAAAAATATTAGAAATATCCCATATACCCCTAAGTGGTTCTCTAAGTAACTAGCTCGACATTGCCACATTTATCGTAAACGTAGTATTCAAATATTTGTTCATTCTCTCAAACGATCCGTCGTCCCTTTTCCTCGTACAACCCTATACAACGCACCGTGTTCCAGGTATATCGTACAGTATTTATAGAGTAAAAAAAGCACCGTCTCGAAAAAACCGGATTGTTCCTTTTTTTTTTTAGTTTTTCACGTACATGTACATATGTATATCACATTGCGTTCGCCGAGTCTCATCTCGCGCGTTTATATCGTCTCCCTGCGATCTTCTTCCGTCGGAGACCGAGCGACGAGCGACTATCGTACAACACGCGTCTCTGCGAAAGAAAAATATATTTGTCAGCGCGTCGTCGCGCCGTCTCCGAATGCTCCGCGAGCGTTCGATCCCGACAAAACGATTCCTCCATTCAGAAACACCCCGTCGACGCAATTTCGAGAACCCATCCTTCGCGAAAATAAGAATTAGGCGAGGAAACGAACGCTCTCGTGCTCGGTACTAATCGACCGAGGATCGACGCGACGCGCTTCGAGGGAATCGCTGATATTCGTCGGAGATGAGCAAAAATTTGATTCTGTGTAGTATAATAGTGGATGATGGATGCACTCGATTCTCTTTTCACACGGGGTCCATGCGAGTCTTGAGTAGACCTTTGCGGTCGTGGAGTTTGTATACATCCTCCAGAACTTGTGCTAATTGCACTCTGTATACTTTAATATCTAGAGGGGTATGTACAGATGGGTGTAAAGCTTTTATTTAAAAATTATCGTTATTTACGACGACGGTACCTTTTGGAATTCAAGATGTATAATGTGAAAGTGAGACAACAGATTTCTATCCAAAATGTACGATTGTTTTTGTTTATATGTATCGAATTAGAGCAAGATTCAAAATTCATCCCTCGAGAGATCCAAACCGTGAGATTTAACGAAACCCTTCTGTGAACGAGATCGTCTCTAACGTTCGTTTTATATCAAGCAGGCAATAAAGAAAATAATTGATAAGATTCTAGCAATTCTAAGATAATTCCGACGGCGACATAATTGCAGCGAAAAAGCGTAAGCAGCACAGCCAAAACTCCGCCCGCAAAGGGGTAGTTCGAAAAAAGTGATGTGATTTTATTCTCTCCTTCCGATACAGTTTCAAAAACTGAGTGTTTTGGAAAGCCTCCGTAATACGTACGCGTACAAGGTTGTTTATTTTGACGAGGATTTTGCCCATCTCTGTCGAGGAATATCGAAGCTACGCGCCAAGCAGAAGCTGGAAGATTTGCTCGCGTCGTAAATCGCCATTCGACTTTTAATTGCGCGTGGTGCTCGTCGAGGGAACCGAGAAGAACGATACTTCCTAAGCCTAAGCGACGCTGGCCGAATTTTACACGCATTACATTATTACAATTCACTTTTTGTCTGCGCGATATTCGCCACGCTTAACCCTTTGCGCGTACGCGATACGCGCCACAACTCGGTCTAAATGAAATTTCTAATAATGCAAACGGAATTAGCAAAGTCAAAGAATCGCATTCGAAGTATAAGGAGTTACTTTTGTAAGAAAAGAAGGACGCGTGAAATTTCCTAAACTAGCGTCGCAAAAATTTCCAATTTTATTTGTGGCAACGCAAACTAGACAAACGAAGTAAACGAGTAAAATTTGTCCGTGGAAAACGTTTACGTTTCAGAAGCAGCGGCGCAAAGTTGCCAGAGGAGCCCGTCGAAGATCCTCGGAGTGCAAATGGTTAAGCGCGAATGGAGTAACGAAAACTAAAGCGTAAGATTAAGGAAGGTATTAGAGTCTAGAATTGAGAGTATCCTAAGTCTCGTACGCAATGATCGTCGCGGAAAAGCATACAATCCTTTAATAAATAACAGGCAAAAAGAACGCGCAAAATTAACTTAATTAACTCTTACGGTTTCTTATCTGTACGCATACCATACGATTCGTAGCTTCTCGAAGAACGACAAATAATATTACCGTGACCGAACATTTTCCCTCCTGTTCCGTGATTCGCGCGCGGATCGTTGCGAATTATTCGTAGCTTCCTGGAGCCGAAACTCGAACGAATACCTTATTCGAGACTGGAACATTGCTATCCTTTAATTTACAAGGTTCGAATTCGGTCGTTGGTGTTGATTATTGATTGAAGCTCGTTTATCCTTTATTCCTCGATCGTATTCATGATAGTTTTATCTGGACAATAATTTTTATTCATCTCCGACAGAGACGCGCGGAGGAGACGCTGCGCGATTCGAAGTGGCGCGTCTTTTAAGGCGAGAGAGAAACAGAGGAGAAAAGAAATTCTTGGGAACGCGGGCACGTACGCGAAGAACGAGACGTCAAAACGAATGACTAAGAGTTTCGGCATGACTCGACTAACGGCAATTACTCGAGGCGAAGATCGATGCGAGATACCAATGGAAGATCTACCAGATCCCCCGCCGTCGATTACAAATGCTAATTTATGATTTCTTCGCGCCGCGGCCCTCCGTCTCGCTCTCTCTTTGCTTTATGCTCGCTCCGTTCCTTTCCAATTTTTCTCGTTTCTGTCATCGGACATTCGCGCTACGAGTTACGCTGGCGAGCCCAACTCTGCGCTCCGCTGGCGCCGATACAGCGACGACTAGATGCGATGGACTTTGAAAATATCGAGTATCTGCATCTGAATGTTCATTAGAGCAAAGACAGCTATGCAACTATTCAAAAAATGAGTCTGTACATTTTTTTTCAGAAAGAAAATGATTTGAATTTTTATCGACAATATCGGGAGGATGTCTAAGGGTTGCTCATATAAAAAAATCTCTGACTGCAAAGGGTTAAACGCAGCCGCGTATCTTGTAAAAGCCAGTTAGTGCCTCCGATTCTTGAGCCAAGCAACGTCTTTATCGCGTCTTACGTTCAGCCCGCCCTTCTTTTCTCTGCATCATGTTCTCTCGAGATGCGCACCATCTCCTACGCCCACTTTTCTCTCTGGCCCTCGTACACCTCGTACCTTCTCGCCGATGACCGTGCTCGAATCCCTTTCGCCCCATCGAAAGTCGAATAATAATTTTCCTTCGCGCGTCGATCACGTCAGACTCGAGAAAAATCGTCGTGGACGCGTCACTTGAAGCGCGTGTTCGGTGGAAAATGATCGTCCGCAGTTCTTCGAGTTTCTAATATCGAACGTCCCCGTTCGGTTCGCCCCGAAACATCTTTTTTCCAAGCTGGAGATGGGCAATATTTCATTCGAGTAACGCATAACGAAGAAAAATACGGTGTCGTAACTTTGTTTCATGCTTCTTTGTTTATCTTTTAATTCACTCGTGTCAACATTCGAGTACAAAGAACTTTCGTGGAACGTATCGAGTTCGCAATTTCGTCGTTATCATTTTTATTTTTATTCGCTATGTGAAATCTTTATCCGGTTGAGAATTTTGCCTATCTCCGTTCCAAGCTTCGTTCGTCCAGCTCTGCTCGATTCCCACGCGTCATGGCGAAAGGAGAAAAATAAGCTCGCTCGAGTCTCGGATGAAACCGCATCGTAATTGACATTGCACGCGCCAAATCTTAAGTGTATGCACCGAATCGCAAGAAATCGTCGTTCTTGCTAGGCAGTCTGAACAGTTTCTTAAAGTAGCTATCGAAATGGAGCTTGTGGCTCCTTCGAGGAGCGTTTCGCTCAACATCAACGGTTTATCGGTCGTCGTCGCGCCGATCTTTCGTTCTTCTCGATCCCCTCGTTTGCTCGCAGAAATGGGCAAAATTACTCGTAGCGAATTTACGAAGACGGAATAAATAACTGCTGCTTCTTCGGCAGGCTAAAGATTCCTGTAACAAATCGCGAAACCTATTCTTGACAAGGATATACAGTCAGTACCAGAAATATTCGTACTCTCTATGTCTATCGGAGAAGTTTCACTAAATTAAATAATAGTTTTGATATTAGCAAATGAATTGTTCATTATAAATATGTATATGAGTAAGCTTATACATGTATATATATTTTTTTATTATTATTATATATATATATATATGTATACGTAAATATTGTATACATAATACATATACATTCATGTATACATAAATATATATATATATATATATATTTATATGTGTTTATTATTATATTATATATATGTATATATTTATATATACATCAACATATTTATATAAACGCACAGTTGGAAATATGAAACCTACCGTTTAATTTAAATAAATTTCTTTAATAGACACAGAAGGTTCGAAAATCTATCTGTAAGTGTGATCGTCTCGTATTATGTACAGTTCTTCGACAGAGTATGTTGGTTGCACGCGAACCTTATCACAGTATCTCCCGCTGGAACTTGGGTTCCTGATTACTTAGAAATAGGTTGGAAAGTTCCTTGAAAGGACATTTAGAAAAATGATAGAAAATTGTAAAGACGTCGAAATCGATCGTATCTATACAATTTCACTGGTAAATGAATAAAAATCTGTCCGACGATTCCCTCATTCGTCCATTTTGCCCATCTCTGTTCGTCTGTTCCCTTTCACGCGCGTGTTACGAGTCTCGCACGCGATCCAGCGCGGTTAAAACCTGGAAACGTCGGTCGAAAGTTGATTTCCAACGCGTCGTCGACGACCCATTGTCCACGACGTTTCGCGGGGGTTCCCTCAAAAGGAGAAAGAACGTTTCGTTTCAGTCGTGGGACGAGCAGAGCGCTCGAATCGAGCGTTTGGCTCGACGATCGAAACTTGGTTGGACCACGGGACGAGACGGGGAGCGACAGTATTACGCGGAAGCTAGCTGTCGCCAGACAGAATGTCACATCGTGGACATGTACGGCCAGTTGAAGCTGCTACCGCTCAACAACATGTCCCTGATCAACGTTTCGATCGGCGTTTTCCCGACCAGCCGGACGAAGAACAGCTGCTCGATCACTTGGGAGGACACCGTTCTCAGGGATGGCAGTCGGAGGAGCAGCTTGCCGAACCTCGTCGGCTGATTCGGGTACTGGGTCCTGCAGTACTCTTCCAGAGCGCACTGCGACTTCTCCTGAAGGGACTCGATGTGCGCCACGTCCGACAGACCGCAAGCATCTGAAACAGAAACCGATCGCGTTGGTCCATCAGATTATGGTAGCACTTAGACCTGTGTCCCGCGGTTTCTTCCGCGTGGAATACTATTCTTATTCTATACTAAGAATCTACCCAATGTTTTGGACTAACAATTTTCCTAGCTAAATTGTCTTTATAATTAAAGAACAAGAAATCAATTATAAAGGAAATCGAAAGGAATTGCAATCCCTTTTCACCCCTTCAGGGGTCGAATTTTTTAAAACGTCGAAATACAATTCCTCATACAAACGTTGCAACCTATTATACATTATTTAAGTGATATTTCTTTACGTAACTATCGGGCTTACTATATTGTTGAATCTCACAAAATTCGATCTGAATCAGATTTCATGTGTGCTGATTATGTTGGCACATCGCGACGACGGAATCGGTCGCGCATGACAGGATAACTTGTCGATACTAATCCACTTTACACTCTACCTCCCCCTCTGCCTCCTTAAGCATCGCGAAAGCCTATTCCCCATCGATGTCAGCAACCAGTTCAATCATGATCATCCAGAACCGGTTATCGTTCTGTTAAAACGCGATCGAGATGAATTTTCCATCTGGTCGTCGGAATCACAGGGTTTGGATCGACAGGGTCGATCGAGTGAATAGTCCGAATCGACGTTACGAATGTCACGGTTAGAAGGATCGTAATCAAGGCTCGCGGAAAAAGTCGTCGTCCGGAGCATTTTAAGGGGGTTGCCGCGAAAATCTCCCTGGGGCGAGCAGACACGCAGTCGAATGAGACTCGACTCGACTCCGGGAGCCGTTGGAATGCGTGCCAACTAGAGAGACGCTGCCCGTGCAAATGTCGGACTAATCATGCGGGGTGTCCCTTGATTTCACCCCACCGCGCGAAACCTTCTGCCTTCGCTTTATCCGTCACCATTGTTTTGCCACCCCCGCCCCTTCGCGGAATATTCCTCGCCACCCTTCTTCCTCGCCATCGACACGCTCGAACGCGTCTCGCTGCGCGGAAACTGCACCGCAGCTTCGTTGCTCGAATAAATCTGCGTTAGGGATACTTCGAATCCACCCCCGTCGGTACTCGTGTTTCTTCGGATTCCTGGATGTTCCAGGATTCCTGGAACTTCCAGGTTTTCGCGTTAGCCAGAGATCGTTCGTTTTCGATCGACGGAGGTTTCCTCCCCAGCCTCGCCCCCCCTCCCCTCCCCTCCCCTCCCCCCCTTGACGACGAGGTCTCTTTGGGTATGCAAATCCCATTATTTCCATACGTACGCGTAATGGCCCATTACGCGCACGTGGCGACCGCAAAGGAATTCGACGATAGCTCCTATCGCGTCGCAGGTCAGCACCACGCGTGACATCGAACGCCACTCCCGTCTACCGACCGATTTTCGCTAGATTTCCAGCGATAAACTTTTAGATTTAAAGCTTCTGAATTATTCTTTTTAGGCTAGGTAGGTCCGAATACTGCGTCATTGGTATCGTAGGAGGAGAAGGATCGGCTTTTCTTACCCGACCAAACTCGCACCCTGCGATTCGTGTTCATGGTTGACTTATTCTTGTGTATGTGAGACGCGACACAACAATATGTTTGTATTCTTGTCGCAGAACGTCAGTAACAAGGTGAAATCTGACGTTGCCTTCTGGCAGCCACGAATAGTACATGATAAACCTCGTTAGGCGTCATGATAACTAAGAATGAGTTTTCCTTTGTGTCGCACTCGTCAGAATTCGAGACTTCTGTTCGAGGGATCTCTTCTAAGGATTTCCGACGATCGACTGGTCGATTCCCATCGACTTCGCGGCCATAAGCAGATACGTACGTATTAGTTTCATTTACGATCGAGGAGGGTTCAATTAAAGCAAACCGCAAGGAATCCGCCAACGCGCGACCAATAAACAAACCGTCGGATTGGCTCTCCGATGTCGTCAGCGCCAATTCACCGCATCAATTCGAATAATGCCGTTGAGTGGCGTCTCTGCTCCTTCGACCCCTTTCCCCTTCGTCGCTCGATCACGATTTCTCCTACCCCCGTTCTTGCGCGCGTTAACCGTCTAAATACTCTGGCGCCTCGTTGACCAACGTCACCGTGAATTAACCGATTTTAAACTCCGAAGGCTCGCCAGCCACTCTTTTCCTCCTTCGTCTGTCGTCCTCGTCTTCGTTCGTCGTCGTTAGGACAATTAACCCGCGAGCGAACGCGCCGCGTACATTTCCCTCAAGTTATTTATAGACGTCTCATCGAACGGAGATGGATATTTCGTTGAAAGTTGCCGCGTGTTACGCGACAGGTTCCACTTTGCGCGGAGGCGAGCTTCGTTCCAGTGATTTATGACAAGATTTATGCGATATTGTAGGATGTCGAGTGTCATAAACGTGGGATTACGAGGACTCGTTAGGTTGATGAGTAGCAGTTTGCGTGAGAAACGAAAGAAAGTGGTGTATCGACTTTGACGGGGTTGAAAGAATGGAGATGAAGATGGCATTGAACTAGTGCACACAAA